TCTTCCTTCTCGAAATGTTTCGTGTCAGACTCTTGTTTAAACATCTTCTGTAGTCCTTAAATATAAGAAGACATATTTACATTATGTGTAATCAGCAAAAAAGCAAGTTTTCTGATGGGTAGAAGTGGCCCTTCTACAACAGGGCACTCGGCTGTGGTTCTGTGCATGCAGTCCCCATTCCTGGCTCATTTCAGAGCCAGGTTTAGATTTATTAGTGAATGCAGAACTGGATCTGGGAGGATTAAACAAGATGGGCTGTAAGTGCCTTGCAGCGTTAGTCCAGAACACACATAACACATCCTGGCTGGGTACAGGAAGTTTAACCTTCAGTTCCATTTGAGGGTTTGCAAAATCTCGGTGTCTGCAGAAAACCAGGCACTGTTTCAAGAGGAGCGGTTCAGTCTCGTGTTAAGCGTTCACATATACAGGGATTTGATTTTTTAACAAAAGCAAGAGTCTGAACTAACACAAATTTTCTTGCTTCCCTGAATCTTCATCTCTTCTCTCTCATGTTTGTAAAGCTTTTCCCTCTTTTTGAGGGAAAATTTTTGTCATGTTTATAAAAACAGTGAAACTGCCCAAAGTGCTGTTACGTAGGAAATGAACAGTACGAAATAGCAGCACGATATCAAATCCATTCACAAATCAAGAACAGAGAAATAACCTCTCATATTTTGGCCATAGTAGTCTTGGTGTTGCCATCATATAATATTTATCATGCAGCATAATTAAAGCTAAAGTATCTTCCTTGATATCCCCCCAAGTTAATAAATATAACTTATTTTTTGCCCCATACCTATAGATATATTTTTGCCAAGTTATTTTTGGCTTAAATCCTGGTTTCTTATCCCTTTATCCCATCTGCAGTTGATGGTTAATAAGTGAAACCTTTGCAGACTTCAGTAGTAGCTTGAAAAGAGCTCCCTATTGACTCCGGGCCGAGTGATGGACAGATTCCCTGCCTGCTGCTCACTTCACTGCTAGATTCACCTAGGGTGTAATAGCCTAGCAAAGCAGAGGAGGGAATTGAAATGTGTTCTTCTGAGAACAGCAGTAAGTAAAGCTGCCTTTCTAGTTGTTCTCTCAATTAGCTCCTAGGAGATTTTTGTGCTTTTCTAGTTTCTCTTGGGGATATGTGACCTGATAGCATATTGCTATAAATAATTATTTTACTAGTATCAAAGTAGGAGCTGCACACAAACACAGAGCCACATCTTTATTGGATGGTGTAAGTACCATTTTGTACAGACAGGCTTTTTTCTTTCTTTTTTTTCTCTTTTTCTTTTCCCTCTTCCTTGGAATACACTCCTGACACTTCTGATCTTCATAACTTTGATTGTTAGTTTTGTGCTGCCCCTTGAAGTGAAATTGCTGGTGAGTGGCATAAAGCTCACAAGCCCAGGCGAGGAGATGAGGAGCAGTGTGAAATCATTGCAGCTATGGGGGAAGAGCAGAGGAATTGCTTTCAAGCTGGATACTGCAGGTGATCATTACTTGTTTGTAGAAGTGAGTTATTTAAAAGAAAAAAGGAACTGGCCTTAAATGCATATTAAATGCCACAGCAACCTCACTTAACTCATTCCTTGACCAGGGACATCAGCAGGAGCACTAGGAAAAGACCGTTCACCTGAATCAGTTCTTAATGCATGGAAGCATTTGAGAACGCAGAGAGCTGACACACCAGCCTTGCTTACACAGCTGAGATGAGCCTGGACAGCTCTGATTTAGCTCTTTTTTAAAATGAGTCCCACAACGAGTAAAAATGAGCATCAATAAATCTGTGGTAGCTGTCAGAATAAATCAGAGTTCTGTGGTGGTTGATTAAAGACCAACCCTTTTATCAAATCTTTCCCTCTCGCTACTGAGGCTGTGGGACAGCTCCATCCACGGGAGAAGTGTAGGAATTAATGGAATTAACAGGGCTCTGGTGTTGGCCTGTATCAGTTGCCTGATTGGGTTCTGACTTAGCATAGTATTCCTGGGTATGAAAGCAAGTGTTTCAAATCCATCCAAAATCCTATTTTAGATGTGTTTTTACAGTGAACTCCCGACATTCCTGTTTTCATTTGTCTGTTCCAGCTTCACAGGTGACTTCCTCTGAACTTGTGTCTTGGGTTCACATTTTATGTTACCTTCACAGTCTTGACCTGTATCCTCTCCATTGGTGCTGGTAGCACAGCTTGTAGGAAGAATTGGAAGTGAGCATTTTAATCCACAAGTCAGTAAAAAAGACACCTTTTGAAGTCTAATGGTAACGATATGGAGATAATGGCACTACCTAAGAGTATACGTGAGTGTAGGTTAGAGCTTTTAAAAGTTTGAGTTTTAGACTAAGGTTGAAAATGTGTGCTGTATTTACTTTAAATTTCATTTTATTAGAACTATGTGAACAGATACGTAACTGTAAAACCCAGATGTTTGCTCAGTACATGCATTAAAAGGGTGCTGTACCTGAATAATTGACGTGAGGTTTAGTTTGACAGGTAACAGTCATGAAGGTGGACCTTTGAACAGGGCGGTTTGCAGTGGGGATGGGAAGCTGCCCTCAGAGCTGCTCATTAGCCCATAGGGATGGGACAGCCCCTGTGCTGCAGATCCTGGGATGCTCAACCCAGGAAGCCTCTCAGCAGCAAAGGGCTGAATCTGCTCTGTGGCACTGCTTGTGCTGAGCCCCAGCAGCTGCTACCCTGAGTTAGGAGAGAGCAAACTCACCCTGGCGTGAAATTAGTGCCCTTGCACTCGCAGTCATTAGGGTTATATTGTTACCAGCTACAGGCAGGGCTGTGCCTGGCATGAATAATAACAAGAAATGTGAGCTTTACCCCAAAACATTACCAAGACACCCTGCAAACTTTGAAACCCTGTGTGTTGTGGTTGCAGCTAATAACAGGTATTAGAGTGTTTTCCTTGACAGTTACTGCAGTAATATTTATACTTACGAGACCTGGAAATAGGCAGGACGTTTCTAAATGAAAATATGCTTAAAAGGTGGTTATTAAAAATAGCTCCAAAATGTTTCAAGTGCAGATTCCCAAGGCTGTGCTGCAGCTACTGAAGCACGCAGCCTCTGAGATGTTTGGTGTGGGGAGGAGAGCTGGTGTCCAAATCCTTGGGTACCGAACAGAGGATTCGCCAGGCTGGATCAGAAATGAAACTGCTGAGTGGAAACTTGGCCTTACTGATTACTGCATGCTGTTCCTGTGCTTTTTCAGTTCCCTGTATGTTCCATGCAGGTTTGTGACTTGTACTGCACATCTGACCTGTTGATGGAATTTTCCTGTCAAAACCACCTAAAAGCTCAAAGCTGAATCTGGGATGTTGTGTGCCTCTTAACCTGCGATAGTGTCAATTCCAAAGGGGAAAACAAGTGATCCAGTAGCATCTGCAGTGTAACTGCTGAGGGTTTAATGACTAAAGCGTCACAACTTTGTTTTAGTAGCGGGAACATAGCTGTGTGATTCCCAGGAAGCGGCAGTTTTTAGGCTTGCTTTTACAGGTTGGAGGTTTGTGGCTTCCTTTCCCAGGCTGGGCAGGGGCCAGAGCTGCTGTCTCACAAAGCAAGAACACCTCTAATTAGCCGATCAGTGGTGCTTGACCTTGTGAGCAACGGGAGCTCAGCTCATGCCGGGATCAAATCCTGTGACTGAGCACCGCCCGGTACGGGCCCTGCTGTGTGCCATCCAGAACCTGTCCCTGCTGTAATCCCCCAGCCACGGGCCAGCCTGAAGCGTGCCTGCTCCTGAGGAGTAGTACCTTGTTCTGCAGGCATATGCATTGAGGTGACCCTCATCTCTGAACGGAGTTCCTGTAGGGTGAGAGAGGATGCTTCAGCCTGGCCCGTGGTGAGTGCTGAGTTGCACTAGCAGGGGATTTGCTGCAGTGCTTCCAGTTTTCATTCCATTTTTTTCCAATTCAGGCTAAAGGCAAGAGGCAGAGTTCCTGGCGAAAGTAGGAAGCGTGTTGTGAATTAGAAGACCTGTTCAGGTTGTGTTCAGACAGAAGAAGAACCTTCCATGTGATTTGCAGGGGAGTTGCACGATAGAAGAGCCAGCAGCTTTTTAAGGACAGATGTAGTCCTCAGGCTACATAGCTGGATGTGGATTCTTACCTGGCTATGGCATTGCACTGCAAAGAAAGTTATTTTGATCATCCCGATAAAAACATGCAGGAAAAAATGGCTTCCTGACAAGTGGAGAGCTAGAAACCCTGCTCTGTGGTGAGGTCTTAGAAGCCTCACCCTAAAAACTGTGATTGGGAATTGAGGCACCGTAATCTCCTTGCTCTACTTTTATGGTTCTCATTATAAAATTCTATTTTCAGAATCTAATTACTTTAAATTAAAATACTTGCCATGTGCAAAGCACCTGATAGTTTCTGAACTACTGTACTTGTAGCCCATAAGCTCTGTGAGAGAACTACAGGTATCATGCCTGGATTACATTTGAGGAAACTTAGCTGCTGTGTGCTGTTGCTTGTCCAGATGTGAAGTGATTTAGTGGTAGATCAAGTAATAGTCATACATTGCCAGTGTTCTGTCAGGATGGGATTAGTACAGTTTTTGCCCTCTTAGGAGAGGAAGAAGGCAGCAGTAGGTCTGACAAATCAAATCTCTGTAACTGAGCAAATGGTTTACTCTTAATAAGGTGGTTTTGGGAGGTGAAGGAGATCGCTCCTTGTCTCAAGGTGCTAATCTGACTCGGAGCTGCAGCGTGGCAGGCAGTCTGTGCACTGATGGACATCGCCAGCCACTTCACAGCCAGCAGACTTGACTGGGTTTGTGTGTACATGCTCCTAATGAAGAAGGATCACACTGCGTTCAACACGGGCTCTGCAGGGTGTGCATAATGCCCTTTGCTCTTTGCTTTTGTCCCTAGAAGTGTCTTCGCATTGTTTTGACTCACCGTCCAACTGAGAATGATAAGAACTCTAAAATAGTCTTTTCTGATTTGGAAGAATTGTCTGACAGCAGTGTGTGATGTTCTGAATCTTCTGTTCTTTAGGTCAGTAACAGATCCACGCGATGGAAAGAGAGTTGCACTCAAAAAGATGCCCAACGTCTTCCAAAATTTGGTCTCCTGTAAAAGGGTCTTCCGGGAGTTGAAGATGTTGTGTTTTTTTAAGCATGACAATGTAAGTAAAATCAAAGTAATTCTGAAGTCTTTGATAAAGCCTGATTGTAGAATGGAGCCATCTGTAACAGAAGTCTCTTAAGTTATAGGACATGTAAAATGCTTTAAAAGCTCTCTAATTTTACGGTTATCAGACTTCTTGGAACTCAGGTGTTATCACTGCAAACACTATCAAAAATGGAATTATGAAGAATGTAGGGATATTCATAATTACCCTTCCAAAATGTTTGCAAATAGACAAGACACTTCTACCTAATCTTATTTTAGGCTTTAGATAAATGTCAGTCTGCACAAAGCTGTGCCAGCTGGAGATGCTTTCGTTTCCAAGCTATTTCTTGCTCCATCTTCCTCTCCCTGGCTTTTCTATCCGCTTTCTTCATTCTAGCGGAGTGGGAAGAATGCAGCTATGGATGTGGTAACCCCCACATTGATGAGCATTAATGAGTGTGTTGGGAGTGCTATCTGCTCCCAGCAGAATGGGGTCAGGAGGCACAGATCTGTTATTTCTCCTGTTTTAAATTTTACCTTGTTTTATCTTGAGGGTATTGTATTCCAAGAAAGATTTTATTTGTGGTTTAGCACTGGGTTCAGTGCTGGTGTCAGTGGGTGCAAAAGAGCTGGACTGCCTTGCCAGCTTGTACCAGGCTGCAGAGTCCCACCACCACCACTGTCACCAGTCCTTGGATGCTGGGACAAGATTTCTCTTGAACTGGTACCTTAAACTGCTCCTCACCAGGGTTTTCGTTCTGGAGAGGGTTTTACTGAGGGATATAAAATCAAATAAAAGCATCTCTGTAAGCAGTCAGAGGTTGAGCCTGATAACCACTGACGTGTGTGTACTTCACTTGAATGTCATAGGTCTTCCTAGGACAGGATCTAAAAGACAACACCAAGGTAGTATTTTTTCCTGTGAGAGGATGTAAATTCTGAGCTGCTGCTTTTCTACCTTTCTGCTTTGCACAAAGAGCTGAGCTTCTCATTCAGAACGTGAACAACTTTGGTTCTGTAATTCCCATGTGGAAGCAGGACTCTTAAGTAAGATGAAAGGCACGAAGTGTGATGTCTTTTGCTTTTGCATTTTTTTGCTAGAATTACTTCTTTCAAATATTTTATAGTTGTGTATACTTTGAAGTAAACCGGTTTGTATTGGGTAGACAAATGAATGCTTTAAGGTAGTACTGGGACAGCTGGGAAAAGTTCCTTGAATTAAAAAAAAGAGGGAGAGATACCCTGGATGTACAGAACATCTGACTTGCTGGGCTATTAAATTCACCTCTCTGGCACATAGAATATTGGTCTGTCTGTGTGGGATAGAATAAAGCTCTGTAAGGAAGGTACAGTCTGACTGTCTCTTTGAAAGGATTTGGTTTTGTTTGACTGGGATGGGTCCTGACTTGTGTGGTGTTTCCTAGGTACTCTCTGCCCTCGACATACTCCAGCCTCCACACATTGACTATTTTGAAGAAATGTATCCTAAATATAAAATAGAGCATCTTAATTGAGGTAGGTGTAATTTTCATTAGCTTAGGAACTGCAACTAGTGGGTGGAATCTATGAAATAGAACTACAACCCCCCTGAGCCTGTACCTGAACAGTTTTATTTAAAGAAGTGAATCTACACCATCAAGAGCTCTTAATTGATACTAAAGTTGGAGGTGAAATGGTGCAGGATTGAACGTGAAGCTTTGAAGATGTCAGAGCCAGCAAAGGCAGGACACCGTGGTACGTACCAACAGATACTGCTGCTGCTAATGGTGATTCCCCCAAAACAGTCATTAACTTCTCCTTGGTTGTTAGTACCTTAAGATACTTCCTGGTGTTTTCGGAGTGCTACTGGCACATGCTCTGAAACCACGGCTCCCCCAGGATGTTTCTGCAGAGAGGCTGGGTTGTGGCTTTCCTCGTTCAGCCTCTGTCTTGCTCAAGAAGACAGCTTTCACGCCGATAAACGTGCTGTGTAACGTGTCAGTGATGCAAAGGTACACGCTGTCCGTGGGTGACTCTATCACCAGACTGCATTTTAGTACATAACTTGACATGCGAGTGTCATGCTTTCTTTCATCCCTGTTCTTAAACTTGGGGTTATTTTGGGGGTTGTAGTTGGGAATTTCAGCAGTTTTTAATACTGAAAATTCAGGGTGGGTTCTTATTGACTGCAGCTGGAAGAGAAGTTCTGTGGCTCAAAGCAGGTTGTTCTGGTTTTTAAATTGCAAGAACTTTACTGCAGTGAGTTAAGTACAGGCTTATATGGTGCAGAAAGCATCTAGAACTAGCATGAGATTTAGAACAAAAAGGTATTTTAAATAGGGGTAGTTCTGTTCTCTGCAGAGACTTTACTAGCCACACACCAGGAATCCTAATAAAGGTTGCCTGCCTGGATTAATGTCACTGCCTGCTCTCCTCTTTATGCTGTTTTAAAAATTCAACCTGCTAAGAGCCGTTTCTGAGACCTTTTTTAGCTAATAAAATCTGAATTAACTTCATCATTTGCACTGAATGAGATTATTTGTTTATATTTTGTTTCTTATGTGCATAGGAAAAAATCTCTTCGCCAGACTCCTGCCCAAAACAGTGTTAAGATTATTTGCAGAGCTTTATAAGCTGCTCAGATATTTTTAAAACATGCTGTTAGTAACAAAATATCCTTTGGAGACCTCAGTAAAAGTGGTATTTTAGAGAGCAGGTAATCAAATATCCCAACACATTGACATTTCCATTACCAAATTAGCATTTCAGTCCAGGGATCTGCCGTGCAGCTGAGGGCAGCTAATAGACTGCTGTGCTTTCTGTGGAGAACCCCACAAGCAAACACTGAAAGTTAACCTCAGTGCTGAATTGTTGGATGTGAACACTTGACTCATGCTCACTTGAAGCATGTTCAGTTATGTGTTGTCGTGGGCACTGCTCCTTTCACAGCTTCAGCCGCAGCCTCTCCAGGTGAGAATTCACAACCAAATGGTGCAAATAAAAACTTCCCAAACCCCAAATTGTTACCAGAATGTCTGTGAATGAGGCAGGGCATTATGACATGGCTGCCATAAGCTGAAGTGAGATACCTGCCAGTCAATGGTCATCCGAAAAAGTATGCATGTATATACAGGGGTACACATAAAGTGTTCTGATGGAGGATTTGGGGTTGTTTTCTAAGATTATGTGGGTTTAATGTAATTGTAATTGGGACCTGAGAGCTTTTGCTGTTACCTGAGTGCATGGTAACAGTTAGGTTTATTAAAATGGAATGCACTGTCCCACAGGTGTCTGCAGGCTCCTACAGGTAACTCCGTTAGGTTGGTGTCAGTCTCCAGTGGAGCTTTGGGTGCATCGGCGTAACTGACTTTGGCAGGTTGGTTTTGACTGCTGATGGGTCTTTGTGCTGTTTTGTGTGACCCACTGCAGAAGACAATTAATGGGGAGGAAATTGTCATTCTTTATTTTTAGCTAAGCTGATCTTTGTGAAATATGGTTTGATTTATTTATAATATCTTGAGTGGACTGGAGAAGAAAGTAGGTGCATTTTAAACTTGGGGAGTTTAACTGAAGTACAGCGTGATTGATCACCACATTCTTTGGTTGAAAATATTGCTCAACCACAGCTTTTTTGTATGAATGTGAGATGAAGCTCTTAAATTCTGCTTTGAATTTCCTTGCCTATGAACAGCATATAAGTAGTCCTCAAAAACTGGATTTTGATTATTAACACTAGTTCAATGGCCTCATTTTATACCAAGTCATATGAGTTATAAATCAGATCTAGGTTAAGGATTACTCCTTCTGTGTAATGTACAATCAAGAATATTTAAATGGGATAAGCTTGTTTTTATGAGCTTGGCTACTGCCAAGTTCTGAATACAAACCCAAAAGCTTAGTTTCCTTCATGGTTAACTGATTTGAAGCCATTCTGACTTGAGCTTTATAGAGATGTATTTTTCAGGTTGTTTGAATTTCCTGACTCTCAGATTGGTGACAGAGACCATTTGCTTTGTGTAACCTTCTCTCTCCTTTCTTCTGAAATAATTGCAGTAAATGCACTTAGGACCCTTAAGTTCATTAGAATAAAGGAATTAAAATCCAGTGAGATTTCTGTTTTAGAGTGAAAATTCTTTGCAAACGCTTAGATTGGGATATAATTTGAATGTATAATGGCATTTTAGATTGAAAATCTTTGTGAGCACTCAGCGTATTATACAGGTATTGATATTTTGCCAATATCACCTAGTGCAAAAAGGAGTAGATAATGGAGCATATATTATTCTGGGTGTTGTTGAAAAAGAGATTGTTGGTGAACTTTAGGCTTTTATATTCATCATTAAGTTCATTATTAAGGTGAAGTTCAAGGCTTATCCCAGTAATCATCATCAGTTTACCTTGGTGGAAGAGAAGCATACACTGGGTTGGATGATGTCTGGTTCTGTTGTGTGCCTGCTTCCCTGGGTGGACTGGCCTAGCTTCAAAGCACATCACTTCTAGAGGTCAAGAGTGGAGTGACTCACCGATTTTGCTAGAGCATCTAAGAAGTATTTCATTGCAGCTGCCTTATCTGTTAATTCTGACTGGTTTTCAGTGATAGGTTTACAGTTGCACTCTGATCTAAAAAGTCTTTTCCAGCCTCGATGATTCTGTGATTCTCTGGTTTATAGCTCTCTCTTTTCCCATTACAGAATCTCCCGCAGTTGATGTTAATGCTGAATTCTGCACCTGGATATGCAGACATTTTCTTTTAAGAACTCTCCTAAGTTTCTATAGTAACTTTTTGAAAACTCTTCCCATGAAAGTGACTGTTAGAAGCAGCCAGGAAGAAATCACTTTTGTCAGCCTCATTATACTGACTTGGAAAGATTTAAATACCCGTAGAAGCAAAGGTGTGCAGTAATTCCTTCCCACTGATCTTATTAAGAGGTGAAAGAACTGTTTTCTGACAGATTATGGAGTAAATCCCTCATATATGTAGGCTGCAGGAGGGTAGACAGGGACAAGGTAAGATTTGGTTCCAGCAGCTTGTAAAAGGGACAATGCCCACACTGTTGGGGCACCAGGAGGGTAGGGTCAGGCTTCCTGTCCTGTCACAGTACCCTTAGAAAGAGTTCCCTTGTTTAAGTGCTCATCTGAAATGTCATTGCAGCAGGTTCCTCTGGGCCAGCACACAAACAGGGACCTCAAGGATTAAGAGGATTAGTGCCCTCTGTGGAAAGCTGCAGGTTGCTGATTTGCAGCTGGTAACACAACAGTTTGTAGTGCTGGGTCAGGCAGGGTTGTGACTTAGATTCTCACTAGATTCTCATGAGAGCAGAGTGGCTTGATGTACTTTGTGCAGGTAATGCAAGTGTGTGCTGCCATTGTCAGACAGTCTGAGCGAGCATCCTTGGTGTCTGCTCGGATGAACTGTGCCAGAGTAGCTGTTCCCTGCAACACGAGGCTCCTTTGCCTTGGGTTAAAGTTCTGCTTTACTCAGCAGTAAGGTTGTGGTGCTTTGAGTCCAGTTTCTGCAGAAGCTGGTTGGATAATGCTGGAACTGTGAATGTTTTCCCCACCATGCATTGGAAGTCCCTCCAAAAGCTTCTGCCAGTGCTTGTCTGTGCTCTGGGAGACGTGCCATGGATTGCCATTTGTGCATAGCACAAGTAGAGGTGACTTGGTGGCAAATATATCAGTAGTTTTGCCTATAACAGAAAAGTCAGCAAATTTTAAACATCAGATAAACATAACGTAAGGAATAATTTAGACAGGCGTTAGGTTGATTAATTGTTTAATAATTGTTGCACCGGGTCCTTTTTCTCCCATGTTTTCAGTATTGATATAAAATAAGGATATTGTAGAAATAGTTCTACTAGGAAGCTATGAAGTCTGCAGAGAGTTAGAGGTGGCATCACAAATTTAGCTTGGTGTGATCCTAACGTAACCCCAAGTATAACTAAAGTACACTAGAATAAGAGAAACACCTTTGTTTTATAGAAATACTGAAATACGAGGTTTGTTTTGCTTTTAAAAAGCCTGTTTCCTGCAGGGTCATGCATGAGGACACCTCCCCACCGTTAGCATCCAGCCATTCCACCAGCCCCAGGACTCGTTCACGGGACACCAGCCTCTTCCCAGAAAAACAGAGATGAGTTCTGTGGTGTGCAGAGGGCCAGCGAAGCAGGACCCAAGTGGGTACAGGGACACCCATCACAGAGGGTTCTCCATTCCTTTTTCACACATGTGTGCCACTGTGCAAGATTTCCCAGCTCAGCAGCTCTCCCAGTGAACAGAGCAAGGGAAGTTCTTTTGTGCCCAGCATTTGCCTTGGTAACTATTGCAAAGCAAATTGGAACATTTGTAGTTCTAATTTTATACAGCTAGTTACCTAATTACTGCTGTCAGGAGCAATTTCTCTCTGGTCGCAGCGCTCAGCTTAGCTGCGTGTTCCAGCTCCAGTGACCACCTCAGTGCCAGCACGTTTTATGGCTCTGCTTGAGAAAGAAAACTGCAGGTACCTGTTTGAATGCTTGAAATCCCAGGGGGGTTTGGTTTTGCTCAACATTCATCCTGGCCGGAGCAAAGTCATTGACCTGCTCGGGACGGGCTGTTTGAGGAGCTGCCGTGTTTGTAACAGGCAGGAACGTGAAGCAAGTGCTGCTGCTGCTCTTGTTTCGAGACCCTCATTAAATTATCTGGAGACAACAATCAGATAGCTGCTGCTCAAGTTAATGGCACCTCGGAGCCCCTGTCAAGAGAGCTTTATTTAATGCGCAGCAGACCTGGAGTGGTGCAGGTGCCATTTCAGGCCCTCATTTAATTTAAGCTGCTTTAGTTGGCATGGCAACTAGTTGAGACATCTGGGAGACGTTATGTCGGGATTGAGATTTAGGGGGATTTGTGGCACAGCGCAGCAAAAATCTGATCAGAATAAAGTGCAGAGTAATGCCTCGGGATTACTTTTAATATTTGACATTAACAGTGAAACACAAAGATCTGTTGCAGCCACAAGGTAAAATCCAGAACGTAAAAGGCTGGTATAAATATTTAAGAGGGCCTTTGCACGAGGAAGAGAAAAATGAGAGGACTCGAAATTACGGTGCTGCGGGGTTGGCTCTTGTCTCATGAATTCTTCATGACTGCAGTGTTAATTTGCTTTGGGTTTGGTCAAAAAGTTGGCAATATTTAACTTCCAAAATGAAGTTCTGTGTGGTGTGCTGGGGGCAGGTGAGCACTTTGGCTGATGGGGATTTGGCCAGAGAGGGTTTGCAGAGCAACAGATGGAAGTAGAACCTTGCTTAGGTAGAGATGCAGGAAAATGGGAGTTTTCTCTAGGTTGTCAATTGGTGATAAAGGTGAGAACTGGTTCAAGTTTGAGCCGAAGCTGACTCGCCATCTTATACAAGATAAGGATCTCGACTGAAGTCAGGGTTTGCTGTTGCATTTCAGGCTTGATGTGTAGGGGGTTATAAAGAGCACTGAACCAACTGATAGGCTCCTGCAGGATAATGGGGAGATGTAAAGTGAAAGCAAACCCAGCTCCTTGAACTGAGAATGAACCTGGAGCACCAGGGGAGACAGCAGGCTGGGGCTCTGGAGATGCAGGTTTATTTCTCACTCCCTCCTTGCTCTTTCCCATAACCTTGGCAGCGTGCACCACCTCCCTGCTGTATTTGGTCTGTTTGAACGTGGCAGAGCTTGGTGTGACTCCAGTGCCCTGCTTAACCCTCACCTTAGCATCAGCCACAGCATGTACAACTCTGTGTCCCGGCCCGTAGTTGTGACCATCGCTGTGCTCTGCACATCCATGAGTACATCAAACAGTGGGTTATGGGGCTTAGCTTTTCCTCCAGGTAGAAGTTTGGGGTTTTTTAGTTTCCTGTTATAACTCAGAAGAGGGTTTATCACTGGGGTTTGTATGCATGTGGTGGATATCATGCTTGAGGAGGGTTAAGCCATGTTGATGGATGTCCACTGTGAAGATGCTGCTTCAGTTGTTTGTAATTTATGGCTTACTGATCTGAAGGAAAAAACCCTAAAGGATCCAAGATGTCATTGATTCTATTAGTTAATGTTTTGAGTTGTAATTTGCCTTTGGAATGACGCTGTAGCAACCACCTTAATGCAAATGCTGCTTCACTGAGTAAGCTCTGCTTTCCCAACCCATTTTTCATTTTCATTCTTGTAAGAGTCTGAGAGTTGACCTCTGAGGAAGCTTTATTCTTGTTCACTCGATAGCTCTGGCCTGAGAGAGCTCAGATCCCTGGGAGGTAGGAGTGAATGTTTCAGTGGATTATGTGCTGAACTTCCTGCTTTTGCCTTAACTAATGAATTGAAGATACGTTGTCACTGAGTTGATGCAGAGTGACCTCCATAAGATTATCGTCTCTCCTCAGCCACTCAGCTCGGATCATGTCAAAGTTTTTCTTTACCAGATTTTAAGAGGTAATTTTTCTTCTTTTCAATTCAATGAAAATGATGTAGTTTGGGGTGGGGGTTTTCCTGTTTCTTAATGTTAATTCTCAAGACATCCTCATCTTGAACAAGTTTCCTGTTCTTTTTATTTCACATTATGAATGAGTAGCAAGCATTAATTACAACAGTTACAAGAACATTGCAGCACTGCTGCCTCCTGTCATAGCCATGGGTAACTTACAGAGCAGCAAGAGGCTGCTGCTTCATTTGAAAGGAAAAAAAAGTATTTATTTTCATTTCCTGTGCTCTTTCAGGTCTGAAATATCTCCATTCTGCTGGCATTCTACATCGAGACATTAAACCAGGGAACCTACTCGTGAACAGCAACTGTGTTCTGAAGGTGCTACTTAACTTCATTGAAAATGTCCATATGCTCAGTAGAAACCCCATGTGAATTTTTAAGCAAAAGCATTTAATGTGAACACTGAAAGTCATTTTAAAGACAAAAATCCCCTATATTCTTTAGAAGCTATAAATGAATGCCGAATATATATAAAATAGTCAGTTTTGTTTGCAATGCTTTGCTCAGCATCTGATTGTGATAGTTTGGGTCTGTTCCCTTAAGGCTGCTGGTTCAAGTCTTAAAAGCTCTCAAAGCCCAAGTGAGCAGGGGCTGAAGCTTTCTGTAACATTTGAAGCATCTCGTGAGCAAATGAAATCTGGTTTGGGATGAAATTCTCTGTACCCAGAGGTTGGCAAGGTCTGGGTGTTTATGTTAGTGCAGAGGTTTTTCATCTCCGAGATAATAAATACTGTAATGCCAGCTAAAACGTGCTGTAACTTAAATTGTAGAAAGCTTAAGTGGATGTGGCATAAAGTAGCTTAATTCCTGCCATTCCCCTTTGCCTTTGCTTGCGCAGCTGCAGCAGATAACTGGTTTATTTAAATGCTGGTTTGGAATTCCCTGCTGCGCTACCAGAAGGTTGCCTACTTGAAGTGCATTAAATGTTTTGGTTATTTCAATTTTCTTATTTACCTTCTCAATTTAGATTTGTGATTTTGGATTGGCCAGGGTGGAAGAGTTAGATGAATCTCGACACATGACTCAGGAAGTTGTCACCCAGTATTACCGAGCTCCAGAGATCCTGATGGGCAGCCGCCACTACAGCAATGCTATTGACATCTGGTCTGTAGGCTGCATCTTTGCAGAGTTACTTGGGCGAAGAATCTTGTTTCAGGCACAGAGTCCCATCCAGCAGGTATAAGCACATTCCCCTTTAACGTTGTTCTACTGCATCATTTCATGAAATCAGATACACTGGTGCCCTTTGAACCTCCAACTTGCTTTTGTGTTGCTTGGTTTGCACACAGGAGAAACCCCAAGCTGCTCTGAAATCTGAAGTGATGGCTTCAGGCAGTGCTGAAAGCAGTGGTTATTCACATTAGCTCCTGAAATGTGTAATTTTTTGTAATCCCCTGTAATCTGCTGCAGTTCCAAAGCTGCTGTAGCATTTCAGTGAGATAAGGTAGAGGTGATAGAACCAGGATCAAGCTTTCTGTAACAGCTCTTATGAGAAAGTAGCAAGTTTTCTGTCCAGATACAACTGGAGACGCAGAGATTCCTTCTGACCCGAACTAGGTCCATGGCGTGTGCCCAGCAGAGGCCAGTCGAATGCAGAATGAGTGGTTTGTAATAATTTTCTAACACCGGAAATTCAAAATCTGTTTTTTAATGCTTTATAACCCCCACGTTTGATGGCTGCTGACGTGCACCCAGAGACGTGAAGTCAGGCCTCTTGGTGAAACTCTTCCTGAGCACATGGGAAATGCAGGGGCTGAGCCAGGACAATTTCTACCTTGGGAGGTGAAACAGGAACTTCCAGGAACTCGTTGAGAAAATCCTTTCTGGTGTTTTTTCTTGTGCCCATTTTTCATGCCTTAAATGTAACTCAAGGTAACTGAAGAACCTGCCATCATGGTGATGTGTATAATGTATGCCTGAGGTCTCAGATGTGTGTGTTCTGTACCTGCAGCTGGATTTGATCACAGACCTGCTGGGAACGCCGTCACTGGAAGCGATGAGGACGGCTTGTGAAGGCGCCAAGGCACACATACTCAGGGGTCCTCATAAACAGGTATAGCTGGGGGTGCCTGACCTTCACCTTGGTCAAGGCAGTCCTTCCATCAGCCCCCAACAGTCTGGATCTCCTCTGTGCAGGGCACTGTTGGGACATCATCTCACTGTGCCACCTCTTGCTCAAGTTCTCTTGTTCATAAATGCTTTGGGTATTTAGTCTCAGCGCTGTCTCTGCCTGTAAACGAGGTTCAGTTCACCAGAGGTGGCTGTGGTGTGGCAGTGGCAGGAGTTAATGTACCATTAATAGATACGGAGAAATGCTTGTGCGGGAGTGCATGGAATCATAGGGCAGTAATAAAGCAGTGTGTCCATCCAGTCTGGTCATTTTTATGACTGTTAGATAGTAAAAATTAACCAAATTAATAACCTGTCCATGGGAAGACATCGGATCTTTCCAGCAGTTAAGTTTGGCTCTTTATGCTGAAGTAAGTTCTCAGATGTCTACTCACCACAATAGTAGTTACCATAGAGATGAGCACTGAATGTATATTCTGCTCTATTATTAACTTGTGGGAGTTCTGCTGCCTTGGCACTTTGGATCCACTACATCAAGTTGTCTCTATTCCATTTTATGACAGGTTTTTTTCTGCTAACATTAATAATAGGAGGGTTTCCTGAAGTCTTTCTCTAGCAGTTTTAAAACAAATCAAGTGTATTTTTTTGCTATCACTTGCTAGAGGAGTTGTAACTGAAGCTCTGCTCTGTAATGTGCTGGGGTGCTGCACTTATGAGGCTTGAGGTGTTTAGAAGAAAAGAAGTTTTATAGTGGTGGAAACTGGGAGAGATACATCCACTGTACCTATATATACAGATATGCAGCAGCATAAACCAGATCCACGTGCTTTATAGAATATATGGATTTAAATTCTGATAATGGGAAGATAGCTTGACATTTCCAAAGTGCAGCAGTTGTACTCTTTGTGGTAGTAAGCAGGAACTCTGGTATTTGTTAGCTTCGTTCCATTTGTTTCACCAGGATGTTCTATCGAGAACTGAAGTGGGTACCTGAATGTCTTCTGAGTTTCTCATCCCCATGCTAAGGCTGTTCTTGCACAAGCCTCTGAAATCCTTTGTCTCTTGACCCACCAAATGATGGGAATACTAAAAAGCAAGTGAGGTGAAATGGATTAAAACATTCCCAATAGAGATTTAACGCTCCATAGGCACCAAGTCATAGGAAATAAACTATAAGCATTAGTTCTGTGTTTGCTGAGGAAAACACCGTTCATTTTCCGTGGAATGCCACAGGAGCTGAGCAGTCTCTGGAGCTCGTTTGCAGCTCGGAAATCGGGGGAAGTGATCTCTTGAATGGCGTTTCTCTGGTTTCAGCCCCAAGCACTCTTCATGTCTGAATGCAAATTCATGGCTTTTCATCTTTTGAAATGGAGGCTTTGGTGGTTATAAATAGCTAAATGTTACCAGCTTCTTTATTAGATTAATAGGGAGAGAAAACCAAGCTGGAACCGGCGATCCCTCTGCCGCACAAGCTATTTTTACGCGATGTAGGTGAGCCCAGTGGGAGTTGGGGGGTGAAGCATTTTGCTGCTTCGTGTAAAAATAGATGAATGCCTGACGTTCCTGGGCGCAGCCCCACGCCCCGTGTGCGCTGCCAGCAGGGAGGTTCACAAACTGAGCAGGCTTCTCTGTCACTTTTGGGTTTAAAGCATTCACTTCAAACTCCGTGTGAGTGGACCGCTAGCGACTGGAGCAGGAGGAGGAGCGTCTCCTCCCACGTGCCCATGTGCTGTAAGGAGTGGTTTGGAGTTCCCTGGCAGTCAGGGGCTGACCCACTTCTAAAAGTAGAACGTGTTGGAGTTCATTCCCTTCCTGATGTGGTCCTTGGATTCTCTATGGAAGAGAGAGATCCCCTGGGACGCACCCGACTTGCTACCAGACCCAACCATTGATTCCATGACAATCCAATCTTAGAGCAATTCAGTTTTCACCAGTTCCTTCTGCCCTTGCTCGAGCTCCTGTCAGGGCTGTTTCTGATCTCTGGCTTTGGACCTGGCTGCAGTTTGTCAAGAGCAGGCTGTTCCAAAAGCTCTGCACAACCGCGTGCTCTTGGAATGGCAGACAAGGGGCATTCAGAGTAGCAAAAGTGCATCCTTCGTTTGTGTTGAGTGCAAGAGCTTCTGTAAGTAAGGAGTGCTGCCCTGTCCATGCCCCAGTGTATGGATGAAACCACAAGGCCTTTTCACCCTCAGCTAGCACTGGAAGCTCTCAGCTCTTCAGGCTGCCCTGAGTGTGAGCAAATCAAGGAAACACAGGCGGGCAACGAGCTGCAGAGCTGTGTTTGTGACCAGAGCAGGAGCCACGCTGCTGCTGCCCCCAGCTTCTGGCCTGTTCCAGCCTGGGTGAACCACATGGTTCATAAACCAGGGGGAGGCCAGTGAACCCCTTCCTGCTCCCCCGGCCCCTCCAGCCTTGCTCCTGGCCTGTTTATGCAGGATGCTGATGCCTGAAGGTCACTGTAATTGTGCTGGATGTCACTGTCAGATATGGATTGCGGGGCTAAGGAAAAGCAAAGCAATCCCTAATTTGGCAGTGGCCAAGAACGTGGAATACTGGAAAGGATGGGGTTAATGAAGCCCTGAGCGAAATACAGGTTTGTTCAGGCATTGCATCTGAACGAAGGCAAAAAGAAATCAATTGGATCCATAGTAGAATTGCTGAGTTCTGTAATAGTGGTTTTTGTCTCTTTGGGAAGCGTTAGGCAGCGAATGTCCTTTTCAACAGCAAGTTTGTCCTTGGTAACTGTAAAATAGCACGGGTGGTAACAGCGTTCTGCTGCTGATGGATCTGACAGGACAACTCTTTGTATTTTCTGTCTCCCATTTCCCCTACAGCCATCTCTTCCTGTCCTATATACACTCTCCAGTCAAGCTACACACGAAGCAGTTCATCTCCTTTGCAGAATGTTGGTCTTTGATCCAGTAAGTATGATTTAAAATTACTTCTAATACTGTTTGTTTCAACACTTTTTATTGCCTGCTACTTAAATGAGTATTTTAAGTGAAGAACTGCTTTAACTGGCTTCTTCCACGTGCATTTTCTGGTGCTTTTGGTCTGTAAAAGACATAAAAAAGTATCATCCTGGAATGGGTCAGTTAATTCCCCACTGGAATGGGGGTTTGCATTGAAAACCTATTGGTCTTCTGAAGGAAGCTGCGACAGGGTGTGAAAGATGAGGGTGTTGGTGACTCACGCTCGCTTTTCCCAGCGAGGTGTAGGTAGCAGAACATCAGATCCTTTGCTGCTGTTCTAATTAGAGACACGTGGGTGTTCGTGGTCTTGCAACACACACAAGATTCCTTCTGCATCCGCACAGTCACATAACAGGATCTCGCTTTCCACCCAGCATCTGTTTTGCTGATGAACATGAGCTGCTGTGGGCTGTGGGTTTCATCTCTCGGGCTCATGGTACAAAACTGGTACCGGAATCAATGATTATTGCATTCCTGCAGACCCCCCCTGCATTTCAAATGAAATCAGACGTTGGCCACGCTGCACAGGGGAAGCCTGTGCCTGATGGAGCACTCAGAAGGCTGCCCCTTGCGTTATTTTAAACCTTCAGATTGTTTTACTGCACAAACCAGATGTTAAATCATAACTTCCACGTCAACAGACCTCAGCGGTTTCCTTTCTTACAATGCTGTGATTCGGTGTTCCCACGTCACATTTAAATACCTGTGGGTTTGTGTTCTAAGGGCTCAGGATGATCCTTTAGCAGCGCTGATTCTCAAACATACCCTGGGAATTGGGACACGTGGGTTTTCCTTCCAGCTTTGCCACTGCTTTTGCTCTGTAACCTTCTATAACAACGGATTTGGTTACAGGCTCTCAGCAGCAGCTCTGCCCCAGTCCTCGCAGTGTTCTCCTTTGACTGATGCTTTGCTCAGTTTATGCACAAAACCCCTTGGTAATGTGGAAGCAGCTTTTGTAATTCCAGCCCCTGCTCTGCCCCCTCTCCCTTGCACTTCCTTCACTGCTTGTCTTCAGAAACTCGATGTGCAAAGTGGCTTTGAGAGCTCCAGATGCCGTATCCTGAACTGTTACCGGTGATGCTCACATTTGTGTTTCACTTTGGACACACTGCAGTGTTTTGCAGACCCACAAATATTGCCAACATTAAATTCTTTGGGCTCGTTTTGCTTTATAGAGTCACAATGTGAAGGTATTTGGGGAAGGAACTGTTGAAAAGCACATTTCTGAAAACCCCATCAGCCTCATCTTTGTCAGCAGCTCTGGCGCAGGAGGGTCAGAGTCAGCCCCGTGCTGGTGCTGCTGGTTTCTAAGCAGAGCCTCCCCTCTAGTGGCAGGGTTTGGAGATCCAGAACATTTCCTAACGAGCCAATCCTTTAACATGATAGAGGGTTATAAAACAAGTCAGGATTAGTTTAGAGTGAATGTTCTTTAGGCTGCTCCAGCACCTCTGCAAACATTCTGACTGGTTTCTTCTGTTTCCCTCAAATGCCATGTTTCAGTCCAAAAGGATATCTGCTAAGGATGCCTTAGCCCACCCATACCTCGACGAAGGGCGGTTGCGATACCACACTTGTATGTGTAAATGTTGCTTCTCCACCTCCACTGGAAGAGTTTATACGAGTGACTTTGAACCCATCACTAACCCCAAGTTTGATGACACTTTTGAGAAGAACCTCAGTTCTGTTCGGCAGGTGAAAGGTGAGTAGCAGTTATCTTTGCATCTGCATTTATCCTCCTGCTCCATCCCCTAGTCCTGTGTGGGCAGGATGTGCAGCCTGCTGCCAGTCAGGTGAAATGAGGAGGATCAGTCCTGGTCCCTGGAAGAGGAACCTGCTGCCACAGATGGTCACTAAATGCCAGCAGTTGCTCTGTGGCACTGGAGACTTGAAGTCTGATTCCATCCCAGCAAACAGGCCATAAACCAGATTTGGGGCTTCTGAAACCAGATCCAGTGAGGAAAGCAGAGCTTTAACAAGAGCAATGCGATCCGAGAAGCAGCGGTAGGGATTTGGGCTCTGGTGGCAGCTCAAATGACTCCAGAGGAAGAGAGGGACAAGAAATGTGTTCCCTCAGCAGTTCCTGACAACCAGTTCCATCGCATGGAGCTCAGTCCTGGCACCCATCACATGGAGGAGCAGCCCCTTGCCAAACCTGCTTTTAGTTACACCCTAAAACTGGGATTTATCCCATAAGTGGTTATCACCAGTTCAGTGTTAGAGTACTGACTGGGGTTTTATTTCGTATATAACTTCATTCCAGTGTGCACAGAAGAGTTCTGTGTGAATCTGTGTGGTGAGGTCTGGCATTGGATTCGATGCCGGGAAGCTAGAATTCCCTGCTCCTTCTGGAAGTGTACTTGCAGTGGAGGAAGCTGCGTTTCCCTCCAGCCTACACTGCATTTCACTGGAGCAAAGTGTTAATTCTGTGGTGTTTTGTGCTCTTCCCCTACGTACAGAAATAATTCATCAGTTCATTCTGGAACAGCAGAAAGGAAACAGAGTGCCTCTCTGCATCAACCCTCAGTCTGCTGCTTTTAAGAGCTTTATTAGGTAACTGTATGTACTCACATCTGATATTAATTCACATTTATTAGTAGTACAGAATTCACACAGCCCGTATGCTGTATGTTTTAAGTTTCTAAGAGTAAGGAAAGGCCCAGAGATAACTTTTTTGGGGGGAAAAACCACCTTTGTGTGATTACGTTTTAGGATATCTCGATGAATTCTTCTAGAATTAAAGTGAAATGTGCCAAGGTTTCAGGTAATATTTTTGTGTAAAGCACAAAATTCAGGCTGAAAGTGAGAACTGGGGGGGTTGATTGCAGAACTGCACTGTAAAACCAGTAAGGGGCAGGCCCGATGGGTGGAGAACCCCCAAGCCCGTCAGTAGATGTGGGGCAGGACTGGTTGTTTGGGGTGTTTGGGTTGGGTTTGGGGCTGCAGCATTAACTGTGGTGTCCTTGAGCTCTGGCAAGTGAGCACTGACTGTCTGTGTCGCTGCGTTGCAGTTCCACGGTTGCTCAGCCATCCGAGATGCCGCCATCTCCATTGGTCTGGGAGTGAAGTGGAAGAGAATAAACTACTGAAGATGTAATGTAGCTTTCCACTGGAGCCTGGGATTTGCAATTCTGGAGGTTAATCATGCTTGTACTGTAATTTTACTAATGAAGTTTTAAATTAACAACCACTACTTGTACAATATGAATGATATTTAGAGCCGTACTAGACTTTTAATCTTGTAAAGTGGTTGTGCTTTTAGAAGAGAATATTTCCCCCAGAGCTGCACGTGTTTGATGAATTGTGGTGCAGCTGCGGTGGCTCAGCTCGGAACAAACGGAATCGAACCAAATTTGGGGAGGGTTTGTCTTTTCTTTTCCTTTCTGTTTTCTATTGCAGTGAGTCTGTACAAACACCTTTTGATATTGAGCCATTCCTGAGGATTTTGGGTTTTCTAAAACTAAGGAATACAGAAAACTTGACTGCGACCAATCATGAAGTCACGTCGGGCGATGGCACGTCCCCGACCGAGCCCTATAAATAGCTTCTCACTAGAGCTGTGATGGTGATGTGTGCTGTTCTAAAACCAGATGTTGTGAGTAGAGAGAATGAGTTTGTGACTAGGAGAGACTAAACTTCTGTTTCCTCACCCAGTATAAATATATATATATATTTAATCTATTTTTATTAGAAGGTTTTCTGCTCTTTCTTACATGAAACCCCCCAGCATGCATCTCTGTGTGTAAATAATGCCATTGATGGGCTGATTTGGGCGCTCCCCGGCATCGTTGCTGTATAGAGAGGAACTAGCTTGCACATTTTAGGTCTGTGAAACTTTGTGAGAACCTTTTCCTGCACTGGAGAGTTGAGGAAAAAAAAAAAAGGAAAAAAAAAAAAGGAAAAAAATGGGGAAAAAAAAAAAAAAAAAGCCCATGGGGAATTCTGTGACTTGGTGTTCGTGGCTTTAGGCAGAGCTGTGCAAGTCTTGAGATGTCACCGTAGGACCTGACTTTGGTTACCGTTTGGCTCATTGTTTTTCTGTTGGAACACTGAATTCTGTGCATATGTATATATGTGAACACAACTGAAGGCCTCTACCTCCTGGAGTGTACAACTTGCTTTGTTTACCTCCACATGAGTTTTGTTTTTTTAAGTTCAGCGTGGAGACTCGAAACTTGAATGTCCCAACTTTTGTATTTAAACCGAGACAGGAAAAACCCGCGCCTGTTTTTCACCCGTACCAAGGGATCCGCAAGGGTGGTCTGAGCCTGGGAGCAGCGGTCTGGAGGGAACGCGTGTGTTTGTTACGGACAATTAACTGTTAAAGTTATTGTAAGTTATCTGTATTTAGCAGAGTATTTTCAACACGAGTGATCTGAGCTGCAACTGGAGACTGTCAGTAAGTTATGTTTGGAAGTTTTAACTTCAATGAAGTAATTATTTGCTGTGAAAGAGAGGAATAAGGTGGGATAACGGAACAAAGATGGGGCGATGTCTTTGTTTCTGTACGAGGCTCCTGAGAATAAAACCAACTGAAGCATTTCAGTTCACTTGAATGAGAACCGTGTGTAATTCCAGAGCCCAGGGCGACACTGGTGTGACAGGTAAAATCTCAGAGGTTGGTCAGTTAATGTGGCACACTTGCTGGTCACTTTGTAAAGTGTAGATTTGAAGTACAGTGGTGAAAACATTAAATGTGACATTTGAAACCGGAGTGGTGGTATCTTCATTTCCTGCCCGAGCCCCCCGCATTTAACAGTGAATTGTTCTGATCTGGATCGAGTTCTGGCTGAGAGGATGCAAGTAAAAAGCCTTTGTAACTGCTGCTTTGGGCATGGTTTTGGTTTTTACACACACACACACACACACACACACACACACACACACACACACACACAATCTATACACATACATACACACAGGTCTGTATCCATCCACACGCATACAGGCACATGGCACTGCGTGCCTGAAGTTGTTTGCACACAGACACAGGCCCCGGTTGTGGAGCCGTCTCCGGCCTCAGCCGCACCCTCACCCCTGTGTGTGCCCGTCCTGCGGGAGCCGAACCGGATCCGCTGTGGAGCAGAAGCTGCTGAATGAACCCCGTGTCCGGGTGTTCCCGGTGTCACCGCCGGACACAACCGGGTTCATCGGGGAGGGCGCGAAGGTCCCGGTCCCCCTCCAGCACCGCGTGCGCGCGCTGGGGCCGGTACCGGAGGGGGCCCCGTTAAGGCGGTGGCTGCAGGGCGGGCAAAGCCGGGCGGACCCGCGCCGGGCCCTCCTCATGCGGGGCTTCCGCCGCCGTTAACGGGGCAGCCCCGGCGGCAGGGGGGCGTGGCCCCGGCGGCAGGGGGCGTGCCCGGTGCGGCGGCGATGGCGGCGGCGGCGCCGCGCTGGCGGGAGCGGCTGTTCGCGCTGTTCTTCCTGTCGCACGTGCCGCTGACCGCGCTCATCGATGCGCAGCCGCTGCTGCCCGCGGGGCTGCTCCCGCAGGCCGTGAGTGGGGACGGGGCGGGTGGAGGGGGGGGGGGGGGGCCGTGGCTCCGGCGGCGGCTCCGCAGCATCCGGTGTGTGCGGGCACCGCGGGGGGAGGAAACGCTGTGAACGGAGCCGCATTTAACGCACTGGGTCCGTGCGGTCTCCGGGGGGGGGGGGTGTGTGTGTTCTGCTTGATCCCCCCCCCACCCCGGCCCGGCCCGGCCCGGCCCGCAGGTCGGGAAGCGCTCCCCGGGCCTTGGGTTTGGTCCTGCTCCCGCCCAGGCCTCAGCCCCGCTCGTGCTCCCACCGAAACGTGCGCGGGGGCTGGGACCGCAGCGGGGGGTGGATACCGGCGGTTTGCGGGGGTCGGAACAGGGTGGCCATGAACACCAGAGCGTCAGTCAGAACGGAGGTGGGTGGAAAACGGCGCTTGGCATCAGGGGGAGCGCGGCCAGAACCTCTGCGAGCTTTGCAAGGAGGGAATTCGGGGCGTGCCATTAGAATTGCCTGTGGAATTCCTCCACTTACAGCACCCGTTTGTCATTAATAGTTAACCAGCAGATCTCAATACGTATCTCTGTGTGCAAAGTCCAGTGTAAAACCCTGCTGGAATTTACCTTTCTCTCATGGAAACACTCAGCCAGGTGCTTGCCTTGAGCTGTCCCTGCATTTACCCCCAGTGATGCTCCAGCAGACCAGGGTCACTGTTCTGCTGCCGCTGATGTTCCGTGCGCTAACGTGTTGCTCTGTTCTCTCTCTGAAGCTGACGGAGCTGCTGCAGTGGTACGCAACCACCTTCAGGGACCCCCTGATGCTCCAGCCCCCGGAGTGGTTCAAGGCATTTATCTGTTGTGAAGCTTTCCTGCAGCTGCCCTTCTTCCCCATCGCAGCCTACGCCTTCCTAAAAGGTTGGTGTCAAGCAAGCGTACAAGCACGTCCTGAGGGGTGCTGCCACGCAGCCTGCATTCTGTGCGGCAGGGGTGGAGGTGTGGGTAAGCAATGGCAGGGGTGTGCCAGTGGAGCGCTGCCGTGTTCTCAAGGCAAGTTCCATCTGAGACAGCAGAAAAGAACAAGGGCTGTTGCAAACAGAGGCCATCACTACAGGCCTGGTCAGCTGCAGTCATTTACATGGGACCAGCACCATGTTTTGACACCTGGTGTGCTCCCAAAGGAGATACGTTCCAGGTACTCATTGTGCTACTTGAAACGTTTGCGATCACACCACTGCTCTGTATGTCATGCTGTTACTGGTGACCATGTAAACCATGTTGGTACTGGTACTTAACAATTTTTCTGTTACCTATTTACTGTATCTTGTGCCTTATCATGTCAGAGCTAGAGCAGTTAATGTTCAGGTAGTTTACAAGCTGCTGAATCCTCCTCGCTTCAGAGCACTTAAATACGCTTCCTTTTTGCTGCCCTGCAGGGAGCTGCAGGTGGATAAGGACTCCGGCCATTATCTACTCCACACATGTGGCTACCACTCTGGTGGCCATCCTCGCGCACATCCTGTTCCACGACTTCTCGGGGCCGGAGCAGCTGGGACCTCGGACGCAGCGTGAGCGCCTCGTGCTGCTCTCCGTGTACGTGCCCTACTTGCTGATACCGCTGCTGCTTCTTTACACCATGCTCTACAACCCCCACTACAACCACGTGGAGAAGCGGAAACGGAAGTAGCCCGCTCTGCGGGTCGTACGTCCAACGCTGACGCAGAGCCTGTGCTGACGTGGTCCTCTGGGACAAACGCTGTGCCATGGGGGTGGCTGCAGCAGCCGTTCCCAGCGCACCAGCTCCCACAGGGAAGAACGGGCTTGGTGTGAGCTGAGCCCCGCGGCTGCGGCGCATGCAGGGGAAGGCGATTCCCACCTCTCCCTGTCCCATTGTGCCCTCTGCAACGGGAAACCGGACTTCAATCACCTGATGTGTAACTGCGTGGTGGGGGGATGCTGCCGCTGATCCCTGTTCCCAAGAGGACTGCCAGGAAACCACTTCAGTCAGAAACGTGTCTTCCAAGAGCTGGTTATACACAGATCCCCAGAGCGACGCTCCCAACACATTCCACATCCTACAGTCGCTCTGAGCTTCCTCACCCCTTCCTTTAAAATCCCGCCTTCCTCTGCTCTGCTTCAGTTTTGATTGTCAGTTAATTTGCTCAGTGATAATACAATGTGCCCAAACTTGGATTTACTAATGCCTGAAGTGACCTTTGTTGGACACTGAGGCATAATTCCTGGGGGATTCTCAAGTACGTCAGGGATTGTGAACAAGGGTTGGCAATTTCTCTCTCCATAAAATCACTTCTCATGTGGAAATAAATAAACGCATTAAACTGCATTTAGTTTTCTTCAGGGAATGACTAAAAGGAACTTAATGACCATGAGGCAGTGTAGAGAGTTCCCACAGTAAATGTGTGCATAAGGTACAGTGAAGAGAACCTACCACTGACAGAAACCCAGGGGTGGTGGGCTTGGTTGTGGGGTTTTTAAGTTCTCAATTTGAGCTGCAAGAATCAAACTTGAGGAGTTTCATCAGTCTGGGGCTCCATCACTTCCACCACCCACAGAATTCAACTCTAGTGGTACTACCGGTATGGATGTACCTTGGGCATAGCTTAAAGTTCTTAATTCAGCTGATTTCCTGCTGTTTGTGTGTGTGTGTGTAATCGATCCATTCCGGTAACTGCAAACTTCCTGGGTTTTCCTAACTCCATGAAAAAATAATCTGGCCAATACGTGTTCCTGCAGAAGTTCCTGCTGCTTGCCTGCTGTGTCTTAACAGACAAGACAAATACTACATGTGACAACCACTGTGACTGTCCAGGGAGCTGTAAACCCTGAAGCTCAAGGCTAACCTTCTGCAGAAGGCCCTAATTCTGGGGTCTCCAGAAAGTCTGAAAACAATCATTTATTTCCCCAATTTCTTTCAAAGAGCTGCATAGTCCCAGAAGGCAGAGACGTGACATAGCAACAGCAGTATCAATTCAACTGTAATTTGGATTAGAAGTAGACTGTACAAAACTTATAAAATCAAAGGACACAACAGTCTTCACCCTGTTAGAAAGCCCTCCTTATTGCCACTCGTAGTGTAAGTCACTCTGAATTCAAACACTTCCATTGGTATGAACAAGCTCTTCAGTCATACACAGTGAAAAATTGCATATTTTGAAGTTTGAAGTTCTCAAGATTCTGGAATGGTCAAGTTTGGTTTTATCTTAAAATCCTCTATTTCTGGAAAATGAATTGGTCAATGAATTCGTTCTGGTCAGCTTCAATTTTACACAGAGTCTCGTACTCTACCTGGTACCTGAAAGATAAAGCAGGTGGTCAGCAGCTCCCGTGCTGGGTCAGGACACTGCTCCTGGGCTGCAGGGAAGGGACTTGGGCTCCAGAGTCCTCCGCAGAGCAGCAGCTGCGTGAGATGGACCCACGGTTCTGCAGTGCCTCCGTGTGCTGGACAAGTCAGAGCTCACTGGCTTCCCCAGCTGCCCCGTCTGCTGCTGCCCCTCGGTTTAGCCAGTCATCAGAGACGGGCCTTAAGTGAGCCCTTTGCCGGTGGCTCCACGTTGTCCACACGTGCTCAGTGCAGGAGGGCACACCTTTGCTGAGCAGATGGGCTGTGTGGACGAGCTGAGGCAGTGCCCAGCAGCCACGCACAGAGGGGAGATTGACTTCCCAAACTCTGCAGTGCCCCAGAGTACCCAACAAGTAACTCACCTCTGCAGCTGCATCTTCTTCTCAGCTATTAAAGCCTGAAGTTGCTGCTCCTGAGCTTCCCTCTGCTTTGCCATAGACTTCAGCAGGTTCCGCGCACCGATGGCCTGTCAGGAGAGGACAGTGCTGTAGCTGCAGCGGGATCTGTTAATGTGTTTAACCCCTCTCACTGCTGACAGGTTGGGATTCAAGTGTTTCAGCCACACCAATAGTAAAGGAGGGTGACACCACAACACTGATGTACAGACAGAAACAGGAGCAGTGGGACTGTTAAACACAGGAGTCTGGGTGTACGTGTACAAGCCCTCCAGACTTCAGTATCACAGAAAGGCCTGCTGGACGCTGATGATGCTGTGAAGTGTGATCACCTGCACATACCTTCATCTTCTCGCTTTCTGCAGCTTTTGCCAGCTGATCCACAAGCTCAATCAAGCTCCCCACTATCTTCTGGAATTCAGCTATTTCTGCAAAGAAGAGAGCACGGTGAAGCACCATCCACAACACCGCCGCGGCAGGCGAACGCATTCACCACCCGCTGCAGTCCTTAGCTCAGCTCTATTCCTGGCGCTCCCGCACACGGGTACGTGTTCGGGTTTGTGGCAGTGGCTGCCAAACGGGAAGAGCGGAGCAAAGCGCCGGCGCCCGGCCCGGTGCCCGGCCCCGCTGGCACTCACTGTCCAGGAAGGCCCCGCACTCCTCGCGGAGCTGCGCCGTCTGCTGCGCCGCCTCGGGCTCCAGGACCCGCAGCTTGTTCAGCTCATCGAAGTGCAGCCCCGCCGCGCCCAGCGCCGCCTGCGCCATGGCCCGGCCCGGCCCGGCCCGGCCCGGCCCGGACACCGCCCGCTGCCACGGCCACGGCCGCGGGGCGCGCTGGGAGCCGTAGTCCGGTGGCGCCGGCGGCGCGGGGCAGGCCGGGAGCCGCGGGGGCCGCGGAGCGCTTCCGGGTCGCCGGTTCCCAGCGGGGCGGGGAGGAAATGAGCTCAGGCGGCGGCCGCGGGGCTGCGGGCGGCCGCGGGCGGGTGAGAGGGGGCGCGCTGCGGGCAGGGCCGGGGAGCGGGCCCCGGGGGAGCCGGAGCCCTCCCTGTTGTGCGCTGCCGTCCGCCGGTGGGTGAGGCCCGCGCAGGCCCGGCCCGGCTCGGCTCGGCGGGGCCGGGGTAGGAGGCCGGCGCGGGGAGCGGGGCGCTGGTCCCCCCGGTAGGACCGTCCCTTGCGCGGGGAGCTCTCGGCAGGGCCCGGTGCCTGAGCTGTCTCCGAGGCCCCCTCCCGCTCCCACAGCGGGCAGGAAGGAGCGTGGAGACCCCCTCGAGTGCTGATGGATGGGGTGGGTAAAGGCTCCACCAGGCTGTTGTTTGCAGGGAAGGCCTGCTGGGTAACGAGCGCGTGAGAGGGACAGCACCGAGCCCTACCTGGACGGGCGGTGCGGGGAGTTCTGCGCCCGTTCGGCTGGGCTGGAGGAGCAGGTGAATCCTGAAGCGGCAGAACGGGCTGAAGGCCTGGCTGTAGTGAGTACGAGCAGACGGGTCGCTGTTGAAGTAGGAGAGCTCTGTGCGTGGTCCTGTCTCATTGCAGAATCAGTCTGGCCGTCCTCGCAAACACTCTTCTTTCTGAAACAGGGATGACTGAGGGTTAAAGCAGGGCAGGACACTGATGGCAAACGTGAGGTTAAGAGCCCTATTTTTACCACGGTTCTTAACTACAAGACAAGATGTAGTTGTTTCTGGCATTGATTTAGCCATAACAGGTCGTAGTAAGCACCTATGAGTGGTTGGAAGGAACTGTGTCACTTGCAGAATGTGGGCCATTCTGAGGGATTTCGCTGTACCCCCCTCAGCTGCTTTATCTGAGGAATGAACTTCACTGTGACCCTCACGTTCTTGGGGCTTCCCTGGTTGGTCCCATGTGCAGTGCCCCAGCACTTCGGTTTGCTTAGGGGCTGCTCAGCGTGGGCATGGTGGTGGGAGAAGCTTGGTCCTGCCTGGTTGTGGCCTCAAGCTGGAGCTTGCCATGGTGGAAAGCAAGTGTGGGAGCCCCAGTTAAAGCGTTTGTGGACAAATGGAGCTCTTTGGCACTAGAATTCTTAGAATTGGTTTGTGACTGATGATCTGCACAGTGTCTATGTTGCTTGTTATTTAATAGCTGTTGTAGCATTTGCTTAATTAGAATGAGTTAAGAATAGCAGAATAACGTTGTGTTTTAGGTGTTGTTCCAAGTTCAGTAGTTATTCAGATCTCTGGCAATTTTAAGATACCATCTGTAGTTGCCACGTAATTTGCTGTGCAGACGGATGGATGTGGGCTTTTTCTCTGTTGAAAGCTGAGGTGGGGTGAGAAGGAAGAGGCTGTGGGATGAATAGCAGTATAATTAGCAGGTTATTTATTTATAAAGGTTACTCATGAGCCATAGGCACAGGATGGAGAGGGGAGGAGGTATTTGTAGTCTGAAAGTTTTAAAACAACGACAACAAAACCCCAAGAGCTAAATGCTTTTGAGAGCATAATTGTTAGAAGAAAGATGGGTGAGAAGCTTGTGTTTGTACTTCTCCAGTTACAGAACTTTGGATCTGGCCTGTTAGAGTTTCTTTCTTTGTCTGTTTCTATTTTGAGCTTATTGCCAATGGGAAGATAAAGCACAGTGAGACTGGGGAGAGGAGGCAGCAGTGAGTGGCTCGATGGGTTTTTAATGGAGACAAACGTTCCACTTGAGTGGATGTTCTTGGCAGGGGGAGTGTGTTAATTTTTGGTTATTTTTTTTAATAATTGACTCTTGGCATTCTAGGATGAAGGAAGAAAAGTTTTGAATGAAAGGAGTTGCCAGGAAGTAGGATGTTATGGTCCAGCACTGCAGTGTGGAGGCATCTGAAAAGACACTTGTCAGTGCCTCCAGTTGAAGAGCAAACCCCCAAGCCCCACAGGTGCAAACACCCACCCTGCTGAAGGGAGGGCAGAGAGCTCTCCCCTGGTGTTCCAGCTCTGCACAAAGGGTTGTGTTCTGGGAAGCTGAGAGGGAGACAGGTTCCAGCCCGTCTTTGAGCTCAGACCGTAGTGTTGTGTGGGGTTTGAAGGGGAAATAACAGGAAGCCTGGAAAAGTTGAGTGTGCCTCAAAGCAGGAAGGCAACTGTAACGTGACTGCATTCATTGCTGTGTGAGCTGACAGAGCTAAATCCTGGTTTGTCAGTGTGCGCAGATGTGTCCTTGGGAATCTGCTGAAAGTGTCTCTTCGTGGGTTTGTTGTAAACAGACATTCCAGGCTCCTGTCCTGACCTCATGCCTTCCTGTTTCAAGGGCCCCATGGTTGTGACAGCTTTTCCCTTGCTGTCCTCGTCTGGTGACTCGTGACCCGTCACCAATCACGGCGGAGTCTATCAAGCCCACGCTCTGCAGGGTCGTCATCTACCTCCAGAAGGAGATGTCGGGGGACACGTGTCTGACCACCACCCTCTGCCCGGCCGCGGGGCCCAAGCCCAAAACCTGCAGCTTCAAAGGGGGCAGCCTTGGCAACAAGTACGTGCGCCTCAATGTTGGGGGCTCTTTGTATTACACCACGGTGCAAGTCCTGACCAGGCACGACACGATGCTGAAGGCCATGTTCAGCGGCAGAATGGAAGTGCTCACGGACAAGGAAGGTGAGGAAATGTCTTTTGTTGTTGAGAATTTTGTAACAACAGTTTTGTAACTGGGGTTTGCTGGTGGTCTTTAAAATACCTCAAGACTACGCTCGGTTAAGGATGTAGGAGAAGAGATATTCCAAAAATAACTTGGAACATTAGGCAGCCAGTTCCCATTGGTGCTGTCAATCCTCTGTGCTTTATAGAAATGTGCTCTTTTGTTACTAAAATTAACTAGCAGAAGGACTGGTTCTTTCCTGTGCTCACAGCTGGTGTGCAGATCCTTCGTGTTGTTCTGAACAGACAGTCTGTAGGTTGTCATTTCTGTCGTGTCATGTAGTGGCATCATTGGAAATGTGCGTGTGGGGAGAGATGCTCAGTTTTCATCTTCCAATCTTGGCATAACCGTGCTTGCGATGTTGAAAACTTTTTTTTCCCTCCTCCCAGGGGCATGTTCCACTTGCGGTGATGCTGTGACGGTGTTTCGCTGTCACTCAAGCAGTACGTCACCTCCTGCAGGGCACTCGATATTGATTGGCTTTATAAAAATCCACTTTACACTACAGAGAGTAGAACAAGAAGGATGATAAATATCAGCAATGGCTACAAGTGCTTTCATTTTCCTTTCTTTCATAGTCCAGGGCAAAATGACACCTTAGGAATGGGGTTTGTGTCACTGTGGAGGGGAGGCTGGGAGGGGCTGGCAATTATTTAACCTCTTGGTGTTCCTGAAAACTCACATGCAAAAGCTCTTTTGCCTGCCCAGATGACATCAGTTTAAACTTGATGCACAGCAGTGTGTTTACTCAGGCTGAAACAACTCCTTGTGGTTTTGCATATCACACAAACCCAGTTCCCCTTGACTGGGTCTTGTTCAGTGTTAGTACAGCTAACCGCATTTAGCCCAGCAGCTCTGTGTAGGAGCCCCAGCCTGAATGGAAAACAACTGACAATGGAAAACAGTCTGACAGCTACAGCTGCAGACCCAGCAGTCGTTGGCATACTTTTCTACGTCATTTTCTGTTCCTAGGTCCTAAAATAACACTCTGCTGCTGCCTCCTGCATTATGGAAGAACACTTGGCACTGTATTAAGCCTTCTGCTGATGCGCATCCTACATGGCCATTGTTTGCTGTCGAGTCAGACATCCTGTTTCCTAGTGAACATGACTTCAGGGGTGTTTTACAATTGTGAGAGCTGTCTGCCTCCTGTTTCCTGCCTGCATCCCTTCTCTGCTCCCTCCTGATCTGCCTCTGTCCTGTTCTTGGCTCCTGTTTGGAGACCAGAACAGCTTTCTCCCCGTACTGGGTTTTCTGGGCCAGTCTGCCTTTTAGCATCTTTGGAACACTTTCTGTTCTATAACCAACTTCAGTTTGCTCGCAGTCACCAGATTTCCCTGAAGGAAATGGGAAGAGTACCATGTGGTGTTTAAGGAAGCATCAGGCTTATTTAACCTCTCCCAGCAGCTTTTCCTTGCGCCCTAGAGTTGAGGCTGTTGAAATGATGTGATGGTTATTTTTCAGGCTGGATCCTTATAGACCGTTGCGGGAAGCACTTTGGAACAATTTTAAACTATCTCCGGGATGACACGATTGCACTTCCAAAACACAGGCAGGAGATCAAAGAGCTGATGGCAGAAGCCAAATATTATCTCATTCAGGGCTTAGTGGACATGTGCCAAGCAGCCCTGCAGGTAAGTAGAAGTAGCCTGCAAAGTTTTTCATGGATGTTTTGCATGTAAAATTGACATAAGACAACTCGAGAGAGCATTTCATGGTCTTAGAGATAGCATCAAGTCTAAGAGGTATAGAACAGCCTGGAGGAAAATGAGACGGCAGTCAGGTGAGTTGTGAGAGCGAATCCAGGATGTTTAGCAAAGCCAGGGTTGTCCTTGCTCTGGGTGCACGCCTGGGGTTTGGAGATGCTTTGAGTAAGAGACACTGAGTGCTTTAAGGACATTTCCTTGTGTCAGTTTTGTGAATAGTAATCCCGTAGTAGCTTTATTCATTTTAGAAGTCTTTGCATTCAGCTGATTGAAATCTGCTTGTTCTGCCAACTTTTGAATAAGGTTAGCCCAGATGCAATATGTAGAACTTATTAAGATTGTGAAAGGGATGCTTCTTGCAGGACAAAACTTAGTAATTAATAAATGCCTCACATACTGGGTTCAACATACTTGTATCCACTGAAAAAAACACAAAGCCACACTGAAAATTCTCCTTCTGGATTGGAATTGAAAACCTTTCTTCTAAAAACAGAATGTTCTAAGGCCTTCCAATTAGCTATCGAGCTGTCCTTAATTTGCTACATGAGGAATCTGGAGTCACAGACTGCCACATGCTCTCGATTGTTGCTTTTATATCAGAAGGAGCTGAAGTCCATTTGGTGACATGCTGTTCTTGCCAAATGCTCAGTTCATAGTGGCTGATGCTGTTACATGCAGCAGTGCTTAGAGTTGATAGAAACTAGTGCAAACCCTTTCTATCCTTGCTTTCAAAAAGGGTGGAATAATAAAACCACTGAAACCAAATACAACTTGAGCTCAGAGTCCTTTGCTGTAGCTAAGGACATCCACCTGCATCCCAATAGTTCCATTCCGGCTGCCTTCTGGGGCTGAGCAACCCCCCTGCAGTATTCATGGGTGCAGATCTGTGTGGTTGCTGTAGCAACATGGAGCTTGTCCTTTGCATCACACGGTTTGGAAAGTGGCTGGAGGGGTTGGAGGAGACAGGAGCAGTGCTTGGCTTTAGCATTTATCTCCCTTGAGTTTGTTTACTCTCTCTTTTCTTTCTTTAAAACAGGACAAGAAAGACTTGTATGAACCTGTCTGTAGCATCCCCATTATCACATCTCCAAAGGAAGAAGAGAGACTGATAGAATCATCAATGAAAGTAACTGCTTTTCCACAACTACCCAGTGAGAAACTGATTTTTTGCTAAATGTCTTCAGACACAGACCTTAACCTTTTCTGCCTTTTCCCTTTCTTTCCCCACAGCCTGTTGTTAAGCTGCTTTATAATAGAAGCAACAATAAATACTCCTACACCAGGTATGTCAGGCTTTTTTCCCGCTGGAATGGGGAAGTTTCCCTTTGACTATGGGAGTGGAGGAGGATGTGGGATGACCTAACTTGGGGTTTTTTGCTTACAACATTGCTCTTCTATGGATTTGAGTGCAGTTAGTTCAGAGTGATGTGTATCTGAATGGCGTGTGAACACAGCAGGCAGTATCCATTGAAGTTTAGTGTACAGTTCAGTTGTGTAAGAAACATGAACAGAGACAAGGGACAAGAGATAAGAACAACGGTTATTAATGTTGGCTGAAACTAGGTATAACTTCGGTAATGCAAAACAAACCAGTAACCAGAGCATCCCTACCGCATCAGCTTAGCTTGATTTTTTGAGTCTGCAGGTACCTCTGCCAGCAGTCTTTGACCTACAGACGTTTTTAGTGCTCCAGTGCCTCTATATGAATTAATTTTTTGTTTACAAAGGGAAGTACCTGTTCTGCTCAGGAGCAACCCAGATAGGGCCAGGGCAAGAATTTACTGGCTTTCCTTCTATATAAAGAAACATTATATGTTTAGTTTTATGCTGTAAATATCATGATCCCTTTGTTAAGATGCTACCAGAATGGCTTTGGGTTTTCCCTAGCCAGTCATTGAGGAGATGTGAGTAATCCTTTATGCTGTGCACAGTCCTCATTTTCAGCCTTTTCCATCCGAGATGCAATCTTGAAAGTTTTTTTCTCTAGACAAACAGTGTCTGGCTGTCAAGAGAGATGGATTCTAACAATCATGGTATTTCAGGTAGTGGGGAAATGCTACCTGCGGGAGTGCTGAAGAGCAGCAGCCTGGTTTCAGCAGACTGCATTCTGTATCTGCCTTATCGGATTCCTCCCTGTGTTACCCTTTAGCTTACAGCTGTGATGCTAAAGCAGCACAGAAGAGCACATTATTCACCCTGGTCTGGAAATGAAAACGTACCAGTAAGGAGAAAAACAGAATCCTAGGTACCAGGAGGTGCTGGTATCTCAGCTAGCTGGAGGGTTCTAACTATACCTTGCACATGAATCTGCATGCCTTGCTGGTGTTTGAATGAGGCATCCTTACTTAAAATTCCACGCTGGCTGCTAGCAAGCAAAGATTTTTTCCTTCTGTTCTTCCTAATTAACAGTATAACAGGAGCTTTCTCAGTTGTGTTGTCAGTGTGGTCTAATAAGATAAATGGATAAAGTTTTCCACATTCTTTTCCCAGCTCTGCCTCTTTATAGAGATTGGAACTTCGCATTGGCTGAATCCCAGATTGCTTTATCAAATGATTCTTGGGAGCTGAAGGCTTTGGTTGCACATCATTCTTTTTGGATTTAGCTCTGAACAGAAATACTTCTCAGACTAAATATTTTATGGCCCAGTTGGATAATCTCATTAGCAGTGTCTTGATGCACAAGTATTTCATTGCCTGCCTGGGCTACTTGCAAATGTCAAGATACTCATGAAGTAAGATCTTGTGTCTCTGGGTGAATTTTTGGCAGCACGGTGTGAACCTGGAGCTTCTGGGTCCAAAGACCGTGCTTTCAGCTGGCCTTCTAACACGTGTTAGCTCTTTAGATTTTTCCTGTTATGAAGCTAAAGGGAACTGAAGTGAACATGTCATTTAGTGGTTTTGAGCATCAGTCGAGAGACAGTTATAGCGCGCTGATGTAATGATTTGGGAGATCGTGCTGTCGTTGTTAATTACATAACTTGACCTCTAAAGGCTGGTGTGTTTGCTCATGGGCATCAGAGCATCTTATTTGTATCTGAAATTGGCTATTACCCTCTCTTTTCTTGGCAGCATATGGCAATGAGTCACTACTTATTTGTAGTCTTCAGTTAGATCAATGCTTAAAGCTGTAGTGGAACTGGCATATAAATTCTGTAGAGATGGCCAACTGAAAAACCCCCATGTTCCTTCTGTTGTTGTGTTTCAGTAACTCAGATGACAACTTGCTGAAGAACATAGAACTGTTTGACAAACTCTCGCTCCGATTCAACGGCCGAGTGCTTTTCATTAAGGATGTTATAGGGGATGAAATCTGCTGCTGGTCTTTCTATGGGCAGGGTCGGAAACTTGCTGAAGTCTGTTGTACCTCTATAGTGTATGCTACAGAGAAGAAGCAAACCAAGGTAATGGAGTTTTCCCACCTGCCCCTTATGGTTTAAAGAAAATCAGGTTGATGATACATCACAGAAATATGTAGGTTTTGTATAACTAAAGCCAAATTGCTAGAGGCAAGCAATATCACTCAGTAGAAAAGCTTTGATACTCCCTCTCCTGCATGTTTGCTGTTTTTCAGCCATGTAATCCTGCATATATCAGGAAAAGGATGTGCGTTCTTTTCTGTAGGTTGAGTTCCCCGAGGCAAGAATTTATGAGGAAACACTAAATGTCTTACTGTATGAAACCCCACGCGTTCCTGACAACTCCCTGCTGGAAGCAACCAGCAGGAGCCGCAGCCAGGCATCTCACAGTGAGGATGATGAGGGGTTTGAACTTCGTGACCGAGTGCGCCGAATCCACGTGAAGAGATACAGCACCTACGATGACCGTCAGCTTGGCCACTAGCACGTCCTTCAAGGAGAAGGGGGTTGGTGTCAAGGCTCATGTTGATATTCTTTGAGGGAGATCAGGAAGTAGGGAGGGATTGGTTGGATTCTGTGGATTCATCTTCATTTGGCTTCTTGGCTCCATAGAGAAGCAAATGGGCATTTGTGCACACAAAGCAACACTAAAAGCCAAAGGGCTTTCAGAGACGATGTTCGTTTTGCACCATGTGCTTTAAATGCAGACTGGTCCCTTTTCATGCCACACGAGGAATGGAATTCAGGATGCTGATTCTGACAGTTTGTGGTTGCTCTTTGATGTCTAAAGACTTTGCCAGGTTTCTTACTTCCTTGAGAAGTCCTGCTCTTCCCGAATGAGGTGGTGGGATTTGAAAAGCTTTTCCCAGATACCTGCCCTTTTTAGGGCTTTGTATAATGGAACTTTGAAGTTTTTAAGTTGAAATACTGAAGAGGTGGCAGAGAGAACTTGAACGTGGCTACTCTTAGTAAACACTGTCTGATAACCCCCAGAAGAAATGGTTAGCTACCCTGTATTCAGGTGCACTGCACTTGTGATTCTTCCACCTCCTGCCCCAGTACACATTCAAAGGTTTGTGTTGCAACAAAGCTTATCTCTAAAAGTCATTAATTCTGAGGCAAGCTCTTCCAACGAGGTAAGACTCAAGTCATGAGAAAACCTCCCCTAGTGGAAGATCTGTAATGAGTTGTCCTGGGAGATGGAGAAAGGGGTTTGGGGAAGGAAGAAACCTTTTCAAGTAAGAAAACATTAGGAAGAAATCATGGCAGGGTTGCTGTTCTTGAGGCCTGTGATAGTGTAATCCTGTTCATATAAACAATGGCAGTCTGGGAATTAGTTTTTTTTACATTAGTTTCTTCCTGTGGCTCAGAAGTGCTATTTGATGTGAAATTTCTCAAGCAGCAGGGGAAAAATTGCAGTGACTGGGGAAGTACAGACTACCCAGTGTTCTGTAAGGCTAGATGATGTTCACATAGGGAAGAGTGAATTGTTTTGTGCTCTGAATCCCTTCTCGAGCATAGAAGTTGAAATGGAAAGAGAAGAACAGTCATAAAGATCTTGTTCTATCATGAAACTGCAAGAGGCTTTGGGCACAGGAGAGGGGTAGCTTATACTGAATTTTAAACTGAAATAATCACTTCTGAGTGCTTGGCTGGGTGCTTATTGTAAAGGGCCTTTCAGAAGGTTGGAGTCAAGGCAGCTCTGCACACTGGCTCTCTGGAAACAGTTTCGAGTTTAGTGTGAAAGGTCCTTACTGTATTTTTAAATGTTTGTGTTTTCTACATTGCAGATTCCAGCATTACCACTGCTCTAAACAGTGATCACTTGATGGCTGCTCACTGGCAGCTCTGCGCCTGTGGCAGCAGTGGATCATGCTCCACAACTGCTTTGCTGTTCTCATGTTGTACATGAACATGGAAGCTTCAGATTCCATGATGATTGGTCTGGAACTGTTTTGGCCAGTGCCAAATTTATGTATAAGTTTTAAAGCAAATTAGTGCAAAAGCCTGACAAGAAAATAATCCCAAATGAATACAGTGAAGTCACAAGTAGAATTAAGATGGTAGATGGTTTGGTTGTAATAGAAGCAGTGGAAGGAACATAAAAATGCTTTCCACTCATTTAGGTTTTTGAAACTGAAACTGTTGAGGCTTGATAAGAAAACACTAATGGCTGCAAGCTGTCAGGATTTCACTACCCAGCCAGGCCTCTGCTTGTGTCAGGAATTCCCTTAATTCTCCCCACATTCAGAAGGCAGCATGGCCCCGGTGTTGCACCTGCCTTTTTGTGAAAGGCCTCTTTAATAACCTCTTTTCTTTTTATATTTCTTCTGTAAGCTGTTTTCCAGATGTTTTTTCTATTGTGCCCCTGAAAATACAGCTGCTGAGATGAGTTGTGACAAAGATCTTGGTGGGTTTTTTTTCCTTTAATTCTGTTAGAGTGTGATGTGGATAGTTTAATTTTTTTCCCTCCACTGATACTATTTAAATTACGCTGTGGTGGGTGCTTTGAAGCTCCCAGCAGAGCCTGTAGTGGTGGGGTCTTTGTCTGCACTTAATAGCATCCATTTGGTCTATTGTACTTTTTTGCATCTTCTAGCAGGTAAGTGCCTCCATGTGTGGCACTTCTGTGTCTTGGCAAATGATTCAGACTATTTTTTGTTGTTACTATCATAGTGAGTGTTACCAGAGTGAGTGATGATGCTAGCCTAGCAAAACTGTGTTTAAAAGAAGCCATCAACAGAAAAATGGCATCTTTGCCTTTATTTTCTGTGGGTAGTACAGGTATGGGAAGGAGCATATGAAAGAGAATTGAGTATCTGACCCACATGCTAGTCCAGAGGGTTTCATTCTGTGGTCAGATTCTGTGCTCCCAGGTTTCATTCATGAAATGGATTCAAATTGTGAATTATTACTCTCTAAGAAGCAGAGAAAAGCATGTGTTTTGGTTTATTTAGGTTTTTTTTTCCCTGTCTCCCATAGCCAACAAGTAGTATTAATTTCAGATTTGAATTTAGATGAAATTAATCTTGGAAACAAGCTGTTTTGAGAACCATCTGGATTGTGAGAATCTTCTGAAAAGCGCAAAATAACTTCTTGGTATTTGTGGAATATCAGAACTGTAAGCGGTTAGGAATGTTCTTTAAATATGTACAGGTTGTCTCTTCATTTCACCTTCTTCTCTCATCCCCATTCATTCTCCCTTCTCTACCCCCAGTTAGTACTGACCACAAAGCATCTGCTTTTAGATTAAGATACAACTAGAACTGGAATTATATTAAAGAGTGCTTGGCCAGTGTGGACAGAACGCTGTCAGTCTGTCAGCTTTACCCAGAGTAGAAATCTAATTGCATAAGCATCTATTCAAAAGACATTTCAAAACCATGGTCTTGATGTTCTTTGTCCTGGTAAGATTTTCAGGATGTGGCAGAGATCCCAGTTAAATACCTGTGGCTGGGTTTGACTGGCAGTGCTGTGGTTCCCTCCACTGGTGGACAGACAGGAACAGGACAGCAGGAAATCCTCTGTGGAGGTGTGCTATTCAGACGTGCACCAGGCTGAAATGATGTAGTGTTAGAGAGATCCCCTCCCTTGGTGGGCTGCTGTTTTTTGGTAAAATTTGGAATTCCTGGAGTTTTTTCTTACCTAAATGCTTACAGAATTGGATCATTTACATGAAATCTCAGTAAATGAAATGCAGATGTAGCTGCAGCTGTCACACAATTCATGGGTTGAACACTTCTCTAGTACAGGTGATAGGGCACTATTTTTTCTGGAGTCCTGCTCCAGTACAGGGTGTTAACTGAATGTCCTTTCCACCAAAATCATGGCATGAAGATTTTTACAGTCTCTGTGCTACCAGGTTCTGATAATTTCAAATACCTTAGTTTTGAGGTAACACATGCTGTGTATTCTAATCCTAATTGTGCTTTCCTTAATTGAAGACTATAAATTGTTTTGGCAAGAACATTCTAGAACATAATTGTACAACCTGGTATAACAGAGAAAAAGCGGCACTGAAAAGGATGGTGCAGTTTTGAAATGCAGCATTCACTCATTTGTAGTAAGCTGTCCACCTTTGGAGAGGGCAGCCAGCTGTGCTTCCTAGGAGTATTCTCTGCTGGCTTTATATATCTCAAATTATGATCCCTATTAGGACAACAGAGTTCTAATTATAGGCATTTGTCTACAAGGTAAGAGAATTGTAATGGATTCCTCCATAGACCATCACGCTGGGTGTGTTTACTGATGTGTCTGTGAATTTGTAGCCTCCTTTAGGAGGAACAAATGCCTTTTTGCTTCATTTGTAATGGATGAATTCTAACCACATCAGCTTGCATTCGTTAGCTGCTGGAGCTCTTTCTGAAACCTTACTGTCCTTTTCACTCCCAAATTTAAGTGAACTTTTGCACAGTCAGATGTTAGATTGAGAGGAGGAATGGACGCCATTAACTGCCATCTGTACACCAGTACTGTAATGAGGGGTTGCATGTTTCTGTAATGGGGTCCTCACATACTGCAAAGCAGCCTGAGTCCTTCACGGGAGAAGGAGACGTGGTGCCTTGAGTGAGTGTGTGATGTTAAACAGCTTCTCAGTACCAGTGTTAATTAGGCAATAATGTCAGAAGAGAGAGCTCTGCAGGGGAGCAGCCTCCAACTGCTCCGTAAATGACAAGACAAAGCTAAATGTTTAACCTTCACCTTGACATTTAGATTTTGGAGCAGGAGACGTTTATCCTATGGTAATGTTCCATTCCACTGGCTTTTTATCTCTTACACTTCTTGGTTAAAATATAAAATAAGTGACGGAGACTGGGAGGGCATAGGGGGGACTGGTACTATGGAGCTATTGAAAAGCTGCACTCTGCTTGGCACAAAGCTTATTGGGGTTTTGCTCAGAGTTTCTTTTTCTCAAGATTTTTTGATTTTCAGACATAATTCATTCTAGGAAATAGTGATGAAGTATTCCTTAACTGAATGTGTCTGGCCCAGCAGTCCCTATCTTATGCAATTAGATTATATCCTCTGACAATCCTTGGCATTGAACCTTTACAGCCAGATTTCACACCATCCATTCTGCTAGGAGAGCTGAGGTTTTATTAAGCCGTGAGTGGGCATGAGTCCTGTTTCCAGCTTTGCCACTAACACAGTGACGTACAGCAAGCCAGGTTTTCTGTAGGTGCATATTTTTTCCTCATCTGTAATAAAATGGTGGTAAGACCCTCCCCTACCTCAGAGGGACATTGAAGCTTCATTTGTTTAATAATAGTGCAGGTCTTTGGATTTCTATAATAGATCCAGAGGATAGTAAATATGATTTCTGATCTTGTTTAAACTGACATTCTGGGATCAAGCAGTTTTCTTATAGCATCAGGCTTGGTTTTATTTGTATGTCTAACTTTTAAGGGTCACCCTTATGGATAAAATAATTAGTTAATGCAGTAACCATATTAGCTCTTGATTAAAATGTTTTTTCTTTTATCAGTGCATTAAATGGAACACTAATTTTTAATAAAGTGTTATATTTTGTCTTCTGTAATTTTTTTTCCAGCATCAAAACTTTTTGTCTTGTTGGTCTCTGCACTGTTGTTCTGCATTTGAGTTATGATCCTCACCATGAATTTAGGATTCCTGAACCATGGAATTCCTGGATCAGCAAATGGGTTTTGTGTTAGACGGAGCTGTTGCTGTGTTTCACCCATGCCTTGCAAGTGCTGGCTGTGTGTAGGAAGTGTCAGTGTACTTACAGGTGCTCTGCAGGCAACTGGCTTTGATTTTTCTCTGGGCTTTCCTTTAATTGTAGAACATTTCAGTGGCTGCAGTGGCTTTTCCTGTTCATGGAGATAACTTCATTTCCTAGTAAGAATCACAGAACACTTTGATGTTGCATTAAGCCTACACACTTTATATTATCACAGAAGTAACTCGTCTTTTGAAATCTTTAACATTGAGTGACAGAGGAGGCCTGGAGGGAATTGGATCCAGAGGTTTGGTGTGTGTTCTGCAGTAGGTGTGCCATTGAGGTACCCAAGATAACCTGTCTGTCCTATGTAGCTGTTCCCTTTGCTCCTGTCACCCTGCCTTTTGAACTAAGCCACAGGGGGTTTTATTGTGAGCAACACCTGCAAAAACTGTTCTGAAGAGTGTTGAGTGTCTTTGGAAGAAGAAACCTCCTGTGTCACTGTGGTTTCCAGCGCATGCTGGCTGTGCTCTCACTTGTGCTGTTGGGAATTGGTTTACCTGCAAGGTGGGTGCTCCTACCCTGACTTTGTGCTGGGTGAGAGCTGGTGGAAGCAGCCACTGTGTCGGGACTTTGGGTTCTTGTGACTGGGTGATAGGATTCAGCCTCTCTGCCGCCTCTCTAAGAAATGGAACAGCTTTTCTCCTCGTTCCCCTCTTGTGCCTGCACTAACAGAGGTCTGCCTTGGCCTTGGTGCTGCCCAGCTCCTCCTGCCAGCTCCTTTCTGCACCGTTCCCTTGGGAACTCTCCCTTTGCCTGGGCATTCCAATGGCATCTTTCCCTTTGCAGGCACAGCTCACGTAGGGTTTGCAGCAGCAGCTGGAGGGCTCTCTGGTTTAGTGAGTATCCTGAATACCGGGGCTGAGGGAATGGCTTTTGCCTACGTCCTTATTTGCTTTGGGAGGAAGAGCTTGAGCGCTTTCTGAGCACGCCCTGTGGCTCTGCCAAGTGCTGTCCTTTTGCCAGGATCGAAAGTGAACCACATGAGTCTGCTGCTTACTCTTTGAGTGGAAAACACGGGAAGATGCTCTAGGGAAAGCACGTTTAGCGTGTCACTAACCTCATGCTTCAACCCCCTCCTTCCCTTCTGTAGCGAGGCCGGTGTGCCGCAGCCGTGCTCCGGTACTGATCCAATGGGCTCCCTGGATCGAGGCTCTTTCATAGCCGGGTTGGTACCGGAGGGGGCCGGGGCCGCCTCATGGCCGGGCTGGTACCGGAGGCGGTCGGGGCCGCCTCATGGCCGGGTGGGTACCGGAGGGGCCGGGGCTGCCTCAGGGCTGGTACCGGAGGGGCCGGGGCCGCCTCATGGCCGGGTGGGTACCGGAGGGGCCGGGGCTGCCTCAGGGCTGGTACCGGAGGGGGCCGGGGCCGCCTCATGGCCGCGCCTCTCCTCTCCTCACCTCAGCGAGCTCCCGCCGGGCCTGGTCCCGCCCCCGCGCCGTTGCCACGGCAACCCCCAGGCGGGGCGGGGGCGGCAGGTGCGTTCCCGCCCGTTGGCTCCGCCCTCCGCCTGACGTCACGGCAGTGGCGGAAGATGGCGGAGGGTCCGCGCGGCGCGGAGCAGCCGCGGCCGGGAGCGGCGGAGCCTTCATCCCGCGGGCAGCGCTGAGCGCGGCCCCGCTCCCGCTCCGCCATGAGCTGCTCGGCGGACGCCGTGAAGGAGAAGCTGCTGTGGAACGTGAAGAAGGAGGTGAGGGGAGCGGGAGACCCCCTCTGTGGGGCGGCGGGGCTCCATGCACGGGCGGGCTCGGGGCCGCCTGCGCGCCCTCCCGCCGGGCTGAGGCGGCACCGGAGGGTCGAGCCGGCGGCGCGGTAGTGGCTCCGTGTCCCCTGCAGCGGCGG